TTATGTGACTTTAAAAGTTTTCTGCTAAGTGTGATATAAACCGAGCTGAAAATGCAAACATTCTTAACATCAACTTAAGTTCCAAGCATTTAACGTACTGTAAACTTACCTACTCCAGTATTATTATTCACAGATTTTATTTTAAATTTCTATTCTCTTGACAATTAAATTGGTTTTTATTACAGATAAGAAAACGTTGTACTTTTGTCTTTTCGAGATTATTTTTCTCGAGATTTGTATCAATTATGTAGTGAGCAAATTAATAAATAATTCGCTAGCTGTATAATTCATACAAATTAATTGCTTGATATGTAAACATGAGACTATCACAAAAAAACTCACTTTGCATCCATTAATGAATGCAAAGTGTCAATTTGCTTCAGGTAAATTCTGGAATTGATAATTTCTACCTTTCCCTGTTTGGTGTGAAGAAATTTCCATTATTTTCCTTTTCAGAATCGTTGACTATTCTGAAGTCATTTTTTCCACCATGAAATATACACTTTCTTCTTTTTTCCATTTCGGTATTATCTTTCTGTTTTCTTGTTTTTCTTCTCTGTTGTCTTGTTTGTTTCCGTTTTCCTTCTTTTTCTATGCTTTGCTGCGATACATGCGAACAAACTGATCCATTTTATCACATTTATTCTTAGTCACTTGACAATCTCTTTCTGTGTCGTGGACCACTACAGGGAACAAAACATCTTTTCTTACCTCTATTAGCTTTATTACGGTCGAAATTCGCGTGTACATCATCCTGATCTTTCGTAATCGAACTTTTATGCCTGCCTGCTTGTGTATAACAAACATACTTGATACGAATAAAATTGACTTATATACTTGGCATGCCAAACTGTAAGATCCATGTTTATAAATTTCTTCGTTTTTATCGCACGAAACAAAATGGCGACTTTATACAGTTTATTATCTCTTTCTATTAGAAATTTATACTTCATTTTTTATTTAAAAAAACAAACGTTATAGCGAATTAATAATTTAAAGAAAGCTGTTATTACAAGTGCATCTCACTTGTTCAGTTTATTTCTTGATGAATATTTTAAAACAACACTTTCCGATAGCCTACCTTTTAAACGACTTCGGGCTGTTTTCTCTCCATATATATTTTATATATTTTTAAATATTGCAAAGGAAATTAATAGAAATTTTCTTGATTTCTGTATATTTATTGATTCCATAAATAGTTTATTAATAGAATTATGTCGAAATCATAAACTTAAGTGGAAGACGTCGATTCAGTTGTCCGGGTGGGGACTGAATCCACGTCTTCGCGCTTATATGCTTATTATAGGGTGTTGGATTTCATCCGATGTATATGATCTATATACAGTCGACCCCCCCTATAACACTGTTGATAATTCTGTTTTATAATTATATGAATTCCATGTTGTACGAGTCACTTAGATTTTAAAATACGTGTGCCGGGCTGTGAACGGCTCACGTATTTTAAAATCTAAGTGACTCGTACAACATGGAATTCATATAAAACAGAATTATCAACAGTGTTATAGGGGCGTCGACTGTATGTAGCCTCTATATACTGTATAGTATACATGTTCATTCAAATAGGTGCCTGAGAGTGTGCATTTATAGAGCCAGATAGAAAGTAAATCCACGTCATGTTTAATTCTTACTTTTTCTTTGCCTGGACTAACAATTTACATAAGAATTTGAATTATAATTTGAATAATAATAATTTATTTTTGTATTTCGTGTTTCGTCAAATTTATTTCTTAAATCTTCTTTAATTTAAAAAATAAATGTCTTGTTAATGGTTTTTTAATTAATTAATTTTTTGTATATAGGGCTACTGTAATTATCTTATTTATCTCTTACCGAAGAATACTCAATCTTTTCCAAAATATAATTAAATAAAAATAAAAATTAAACACAGAAACGATTAAAAATATAAGTATAAACTAAAGTATTGATTTATTATTGTTTCTAAATGCAAAATACTTCTATTTATTCTTATCTCTTATTCTAATTTCCAATAAATTTTACTAATTTTTAAAATACATTTAATTATTATTATTATTATTATTATTATTATTATTTACACTTTTTAATCGATATTAACTTTATAACAAATCACTAACATGAGTAACATATCGAATATAACTAGTGTTTAGGAAGATTATTACAGCAACTAATTGCTACTGATTTTCCATTACCTAAATCCCGGATCGATTTCGCTTTATCTTCATCCTTCTCATTTACCTTATTGCAATATATTTGATAGTTGTTGGTGGATTATTTATTAAGTACAGTACCTATTACAAATGCCTTATTACATCTACTCCAATGAACAGAATTAAAAGGCAATAAGTTTTAAAATTTACCTTACACTTCCACCGAAAAACTTACAAAGCACATTTAATTGAAAAATGTACAGTACAGTACACCTTGCCAAAAAAGACCAAATTTTACTTTTCTCCTGAAATGTCTTGTTCTAAATTGCTTTAAAAAATAAAAAATAGCCATAATTATAACTTAAGTGATCATTAAAATGATAAAGCTCATCAGAGTTAGAAACAATTTAAGATACTATTAATCTCAAGATGTACCTTGTAGCTTTTCAATAAATAACCATCTTTTATCTTTGTTTTCTTGAAAGGTCTTGGGCTATATTGTTATAAAAAATAAAAATATTAAAATTTATATTTTAATTAATCATTAAAATGATTAAAAAAACTACCGGGGGCAATTTTTTAGACTGTTTAAAGACTAAAAATCTCGTTCAAAATGCATCCAATAAACGACTCTGCTTAATCTTTGTTTTTCTTAAAATGTGTTATATTAAACGACCATAAAATGTATAACATATTAATTATATCTTAAATAATTATTAAAGTGACAAAATCATCCGTATAAGATTGAGCATGCTTGAAATGGTTTTAAAATCCATCTTCAAAACCATTTCAAGCATGCTCAATTTTAAAATGTTTCTCTTGTAGATTTTTAATAAGCAGCCATGTTTTACTTTTGTTGTCTTGAAAATGTCTTACTCTAAACTGCTATAAAAGATAGAAAATGTTTATAATTATGCTTTAAATAGTCATTAAAATAAAAAAAAAATTAGAGAATATTTTTTAGAAATCATTTAAGATATGCTTAATCTTATGTAGTTTCTCAATAAACAAGCACATTTTAATTAAATTTTTGATTCACAAACCTAATCAAGAACAGATTTATCATATACTGGCCAATGTTTATTTAACAATTAAAACTCCAGTATGCATTTCGACAATAAAACAATTGTCCTCCTCAACTGCTTTTTAATTTACAACCTTTTTTTAAACCGATATACAGTATAATAATAGCATGATAATAATGATAAAAAAATTAATATAATTGATTAAAATTTTATGTAAGGTATAGTTTATCTTATTAAGTTTATGGTTGCAGATTAGGTTTTTAATGTGTTATAGATTGGTTGACAGTGAGGATTACAACATTGTTTTAGTTTTAGAAATGCATACTGCAGTTTTAATTATTAAATAAACATTGGCCAATGCATGATAAATCTGTTGTTCATTAGGTTTATGAATGAAAAATTTAATTAAACTAAAATACAGACCAAAAAGGCATTGAGGTATTAACCATGTTTTAAGTTTTATCGAAGTGTCTTATCCTAAATTACTATTAAAAAGTAAAAAAAAAATATTTATAATTATATTTTAAGTAATCCATCAAAATCCATCAAAAATCAGATTTTAGAACTAGTATTATGCGAATGGGAATGATTTTTTTAGAGAAAAGTTATAGAGAAAGAGTAATCTCTTTCTCTATAAATGCACTGAAAAAATGTATGTATGCGGAATTGTTTTTGGAAAGAAAATTCTCGTGATTGTATTTTACTATAAAATATACAATATAATAAAAAAATAAGCGAAACGAATGATAACATTCAATTGTTTTAGAAACTAAAATTTAAAATCTCATTTAAAATATTCATAATAATAAAATAATTATGATGTATATACAGAATGTTTCGAAATTCCTGTTGCAAACTTATAGGATAGATTCCTTAAGAAGAAATAAATAAAGGATTTATTCGAAAATTTAAATTGTGAAAACGATTTATTCTAAAAATTTAAATTTATTGACAATTTAAATCTTTTATTAAGGATTTATTAACAATTTAAAGTTCAGTGATGCCACTTGAGTTTTCGCTCAAATGAGAACAAATTCATCTTTATTCTATTATTTAAATTTAAAGTTTTTTAAGAAAGAAAAAAAAATGAATAGATTTATCTCGAAATTTTGTATTTTATTTTTATTTACTGAAAGCAATGTTCTTTTTATAAAAGTATATGATTCTTCTTAAGCGTTTGTTTCGCTTTGCATCCTGATCCTCTACAAGAGCTTCTGGATATGGCGACGTTCAACGTACATGCAAACATTATATCTGTGAAGCGTGTTCTGTACACTCCTCAAAAATACCTGATGTGCGTTAAATTTCTCGTGCCGCCACCATAATTCGTGCAAGCACATCTTTCTTTTGCTTTATGTGCTTCTCCCCACCTCTGAGTATTTTATTTGTTTATAAATGCTGCATGACGGCAATAATTTACTGTATTCACATACATCAAATACCGGAAGTGATATCACAGAACTTTAAATTAAATTAACTTCACTTTTTTCTTCTAATAATATTATTTTAAAATGTAATACATAAAATATTTAAAGTAAAATAAGGAATTAATTTGATATAATAAATTAAGTTTACAAATTATTTTATTTAAATTATAAAATAAATTACAAAAATGTTTTAAATTAAATTTATTCTTGATATAAATACTTCAATATATTATATAAAGAAAAATATTCAAATAAAATTCAAAAATCCTTACGATCTCCTCGGAGAATACGTTTACCAAAAAATAAGAATTACCTACAATAAAATTGTATTTTTTTGAAATATTGTATCAGAGAAACATCTAAAAATCCTATGTTTTTATATACATAAATCTATTTTCTAGAACCTTATTCGTAGTTTAAGATGGCAGAAGAAGAGGATGATGATTACACAGTGTTTGAAGATAAACCAGGTTTGGCAGAGGATATGAAATTCTTAGCAAGTATGCCAGAACTATGCGATGTGACTTTTTTGGTTGGAGAAACACGCGAACCTGTTTGTGCTGTCAAAGCAGTTTTAGCTGCAAGAAGCAGGTATTCAAATATATAGATAATAGTTGGAAAAATTTTATTTATTTTCAATAGTGGAATATGTCAAAGTTTGCTACTCGCCTGTTGAAGATTCTTTTAAATTGTGTTTTGCGCTCGTAATTTTCTTATTTTTTGAAATTTATTTTGTAAAAAATTAATTTCTTTCTCATATTTCAAGCCCTTATATGTATATATTCTACCATTTCCAAAAATTTTATTTATTTTCAATTGTAAGATGCACACACTTAACGTTTGGAATTAATTATAATTTCATTATGCGCTCGTAATTTTACTTTTTAAAATTAATTTTATTAAAACTTCAAGAAAATTTAATTATTTTTAATACTTTAAATTTATTTTTTTCAAAATGTAATTATTTTTTATATCCTAGAACATTTTATATTTATCTTTTTACCACTTTGTCACTTGTTGTTAATAGGTTGCCTTCAATGTACAGTACTTTTCTTTCAATTTTTATAAAGAAATTCCAATTGATTTACTTTTTAAACTCTTAAATCAAATATTATTTTAACATATATATACTTTCAAAAACGAAGATGAATTAAATAAAAATGTCTAGTTTTATTCTGCACAAAAATATTTTTATTGATTTTTTTTTAAATATTTTTTTTGCCTGCTTTAAAATAAGATGTTGACATTTTTTATACTTTATAAGTATATATTACAAGTATAAGGTATTGAGGTTCCTTATTAAAATGGAGTAGGAACTCGGTGGAATTGTGTTTCTATGGGCACGAAGGGAGTTGTAAGTGTTGATGTTGATGCTGTGGGACACATTGTCTGAAACCAGTGATGTGCTAGACACAAAATTGGTTTCAGGCAGATAATGGCATCCCTTGTGTAATATGATCATACAGTACTTCCAAATATCTCATTTTTTTCTCCTCTGTTTCGCTTGCTTCTAACAGGTTATTTATGTGAACTTTTATGTTAAATCCTTGTTAAAGTTACAGAATAAAACTTAAATAGAATAGTTTTTTAAATTCTGTTATATAACATTGTTTATTTAAATTACAGTAATTTTTATTTCATTTAAATTTCTATAATTAATTCTTAACTTTTTAAAATTAAAATTTTAAAAATTAATTTATTGTTTAATTTTATTAAAATCGTAAATGTTCTTAATTTTCTCACTTTCTATTTTTTATTTTTATTTTTTCAGTCACTAATTGTAATGCTTTTTAAATTATTTTTTTTAAATATTAAACATTTTTAAAAATTCTCAGTAAAAACGTATTTCTTCATTAATTTTTTACAGTAGCACTCTTCGTATTACAATTATTTTTCTTTGCTTTATAATTAATGTTTATTTGCCTGTAGTCTACACTTCACGCTTATTTACCTGTATCTAGTTGATGTTTGTTATCTTCTGCCCTGCAATTAATGCTTACTTTTCTGCATCCTGTTATTGATGCTTTTTCATACACTTTACAGTTATTACTCATTTTCTGCACAATACAATTATTTTCATGTAACTGATATGCGCTTACACCTTGAAGTTAATATTTAGGCTACTTTTCTGCATTCTACAGTTGGCATTTATTTTCCTATACCCTGCATAACTTGTGCTTATTTTCTTACATCCTACAATTAATGTTTTTTCTACACTTTACAAAGTTAGCATTTATTTTCCTACCTCTTACAGTTAATACTTATTTTCTTGCATTTCTACAATTGCTGTTTATTTTTTTTACACAGTTGACATTTATTTTACTGCATCATTAGTTAACATTTTTCTACCTCGAGAAATTACGTTAGTTTTTCATATTTACTCTTTAAATTAGTTTTCCTTAACCAATTATTTTGCTTCGTATTTTGTTTTTTTTTATTAAATTACAGAATTATTTACAAAACATATATATGTTTTAACATTTTTTAACGATAAAATGTAGAAAATATTCGTATGTTTAAAATGAAAGGCAAAATAGTATACTTGTGTATTCAGGGTTTTCCAAAAGATCCTTTATGGACTTCAACAACAACAACCAACGTTTCCAAAAGAATCAGCTACTAAAAAAAGGGAGTCATTTAAAGAAACAAAATTGAAATTGTTCCTGAAAAGAAGCAGCGAACCTATCATCAACATTCATTTCCCTCAGGTAATTGCATCACGAATTTCTATTATTACATTTAGCGATTGGATATAAAGTGTAGATTACTTTTTCTCTTCTTTCTCTACAAATTGCAAATGTGATGATAAAATTTTCCAAGTTAAAATATTAATTTTTAACAATATATTTTATGAATTATATTTAATTTAAATTGCTATTATTAATATTAAAATACATTTTTAAAATTTATATAATTTATTCTAAAATTTCTAAGTAAATTCTTTTAGAAAGAGTTTTAAAATTAGAATAATTTTTATATTTTATCTACGAATATTTTTATAATTTCCTGAGTAATTGTGGGTATCTTTAATTAACATTCTTTAAGGTGCATTCGTTTTATCAGAAGAGTGCGCGCAGTTACGTAAATTTTACGTTATTTTACACTTTTCTATTACAAAAAAGTATAATAATTACGTCTAACTGACGTAAAAGTATGCATTTGGCATCTCTAGACGGATATGAGCCTTTGCCATTTTGTGCTACAGCTTTTGTTACGTGCTTAGCCCCAATATGTCAGAGTTACGAGGGTACTTACAATATTAAAAAAGTAGACATTTAAAAATTGTCATACGTTATTTTAACTTGTGAACTTAAATTATTGAATAAAATATCTGCCTAATTTAAAGAAGTGACTGCTGGCTACCGCGCCGACCGTAACATTATTATTGGTAATAACAATGTTACGGTTGAAATATTATAAATTTCGCTATTTTTTATTCTATCAATATGTAAAATTAAATATTACAAGTATTTCTGGCAATTTATATCCGAACATGTTTATATAAAATCATAAAATAAATAAAGACGATCAAAAAAAGTTAAACGATTAATTAAATATCAATTGATTTTCATTGATCAAATGATCTGACTGGACCACATGGTCATAGCCTCATTCAATAACCAAAACATATACTGTATATACAGTAGAGTGTCGTTTATCCGAAAGTCGGTTATCCGAAAGAATTCCAGTCGACAAATTTAAATTTTCGCTAGTGCTGTGGCGCTGCAATATTTGGCTATATCTTGGGCTACTCCAATATTTTTTTTGTTGATGTGTGTGTTTTAGCTGGCAGCACTGGCACTTTTGTGTGGTCTTTTTCTGAGCACTGTGTGTGGTGCTGAATCGAACGTTTTTGATACTAGATCAACTTCTAAAGTATACTTTTTTATTGTTTTTATATTTTTCAATATATTTATTTTGTTTGTACAAAATAAAGAAATAATTTTTAACGATACAGTAGCCACGATTATTATTTTAAAAAGTTTACGTTAGGCTTAACATCGTCGAAAATTCAACGCGAGGCAACACGCAACGGAGAAAAATTTCAACACGGGATAGGTTAATATATTTTTTCGTACATAATCGGTTATCCGAAAAATAAGTTATCCGAACGACCCCAGTCTCCAATTGATTCGGATAAACGACGCTCTACTGTATGTCTATCTGGTACTTAATTATATGTCTGTATTTTGCTTATTTTTCCTAAAATTATATAAATACAAATTATTGTGACGTTGTCACAATGTTCTCAATTACTGTATTTCAGTAGTGTCTTGCCCCTGTACATCGTACTTTTCCTGTTAGCAATAGAGTCGTGCCGGTCATCTAACTTCCTTCAGGGGAAATTTATGAATTTAAATAGTTAATTTGGGCCTCCTACCTCCAAGCTTTCCATGTCTGGTCGCGACTGTATCTAACTCCATTCTCGTGATTAAGGAAGGACAACAGACAGTCAAACAAACAGGCAGACGGACGACAGTGGGAATTTTTAGGTGTACAATTTTTTTTTTTTTCAAATTGCAGCCCAATTAGTGTAAATTTTTCTGATTGTTGTTTTACTTACACAAAGTTACGCAGTTCTGTTATAAAGTTCTGTTTTCCTTAAAAACAAATGCAGTAACTTTAATACAGATAAACTGGTATACACTACAACAAAAGTTTTTGAATTGTGTAAACAGAATTCTCTCCAGACAATTGTTGTACAAGAATCAGTTTTAAAAATGTTAAACCCTAACTTAAACATCTTGTTTCACATGTCAATAATATAATATATACCTCAAAGTCTATAGCAAATTTTTAGGATTCGTTTGTCTCGCTGACAATTAATTGTAATCTTTGTTTTTCTTCTGGTAAACGAAGCATTACAGTATTTAACCTTTTCGATCAGAATTACTGTAATTTTGTACACTACAACCTGACATCTTAAATTATTCACGATGTGGATCTTGGCAAATTATATAAACAATCGTATCGTATTACAATCGTCTCCACACAAAATGGGGGATGCACATAGCTGTACAGATAGAGGTGCTGTAGTATGCACAACTCTAACAAAACGAAAGCACTTTCAGAAAGCTTAAAGTATTTCTAAAAGATTTATTTTAAATCTTTCAGAAAAATCTAAATTTATATTAAACATATGCACAATTATTAAAAATATTTGTTGCACTGTATGAATTACTTTGTTGTTGAAGCACGTTTTCTTTTCACATTTTATAAACTAATATATTAATATAATAAAATATCAATACATGGTGGCTCAGAAGTCAGTTAACTGTTTTATCCCTTTTTTTAATATTAAAGTTATTATTTAATTTGTTAAAGCTTTGTAATGCGTATTTTCAAAATGAGTTTGTTTTTTGTTTAGCAGTTTTGAATAAGATTACAACTTAATCTTCGTAATGGTTAACTGATTTTTTCGCCATCCTATTCATTACAGCATAAATGTTCATTAATTTAATAACATATTAATAATAATACTTGGAATTTACAAATTTTATAGTATCTCAAATGCATCTCAGCCGTATACCGTGCGATTTTTTTGACGCACAATACATTGTACAATAATTATATGATGAATTTTTTTTATCTCTGTGGCTCCAACGAGTGATTTTAAAGTGGTTCACGCAAATCAAATATACTAAAAATAAGATGAAGCCATAATAAAAGATTTTTAGAGCACAACTTTTATCGATATAAATGTATAATACTTTGTAAATTTCCTATACACAATTTTTGAGCCTGGCAACAACAGGTTCACTAACTTGTGTCAGATATTAATATTTTACGATGGATGAAGGATGTGGTAAAATAAAACGAACTGAAAAATATTTGTATAACAAGCAATTATTTATTGTAACATCGTCGTAATGTCGTGCTGCGATTTTTAATCATATTTTTAATTTAATTTAAAATATATGCTCTCGATTTGAAGTGTTTTGCCCTTGTACATCGCACTTTCCTGTTAACAATAGTCATTCTGATCATCTATCTAACTCAGTTTTGGAGAAAATTTTTGAGTTAAAATAATGTTACTTTTATTTCAAACTGGAAGTTCGTATATAGTTAATCGGGACCTCCAGTCCCTAAGCTTTTCATATCTGGTCTCGACTTTCATCTATCTATCTAACTCCATTCTCGAGATTAAGAAAGGACAGTCAGACAGTCGCCAGTGGAAATTTATGTCTACAATTTGAAAATTGCAGCCTAATCAATTAAATTTGAATAAATAAGTATATATTTACATTTGAATATAACTAGTAAATAATACTTAGAAATGTAAACAAACAGAATTTTTATGTTCTGCATACAATTTCTAACAGTTCTTNTTTCCAATAAATTTTACTAATTTTTAAAATACATTTAATTATTATTATTATTATTATTATTATTATTATTTACACTTTTTAATCGATATTAACTTTATAACAAATCACTAACATGAGTAACATATCGAATATAACTAGTGTTTAGGAAGATTATTACAGCAACTAATTGCTACTGATTTTCCATTACCTAAATCCCGGATCGATTTCGCTTTATCTTCATCCTTCTCATTTACCTTATTGCAATATATTTGATAGTTGTTGGTGGATTATTTATTAAGTACAGTACCTATTACAAATGCCTTATTACATCTACTCCAATGAACAGAATTAAAAGGCAATAAGTTTTAAAATTTACCTTACACTTCCACCGAAAAACTTACAAAGCACATTTAATTGAAAAATGTACAGTACAGTACACCTTGCCAAAAAAGACCAAATTTTACTTTTCTCCTGAAATGTCTTGTTCTAAATTGCTTTAAAAAATAAAAAATAGCCATAATTATAACTTAAGTGATCATTAAAATGATAAAGCTCATCAGAGTTAGAAACAATTTAAGATACTATTAATCTCAAGATGTACCTTGTAGCTTTTCAATAAATAACCATCTTTTATCTTTGTTTTCTTGAAAGGTCTTGGGCTATATTGTTATAAAAAATAAAAATATTAAAATTTATATTTTAATTAATCATTAAAATGATTAAAAAAACTACCGGGGGCAATTTTTTAGACTGTTTAAAGACTAAAAATCTCGTTCAAAATGCATCCAATAAACGACTCTGCTTAATCTTTGTTTTTCTTAAAATGTGTTATATTAAACGACCATAAAATGTATAACATATTAATTATATCTTAAATAATTATTAAAGTGACAAAATCATCCGTATAAGATTGAGCATGCTTGAAATGGTTTTAAAATCCATCTTCAAAACCATTTCAAGCATGCTCAATTTTAAAATGTTTCTCTTGTAGATTTTTAATAAGCAGCCATGTTTTACTTTTGTTGTCTTGAAAATGTCTTACTCTAAACTGCTATAAAAGATAGAAAATGTTTATAATTATGCTTTAAATAGTCATTAAAATAAAAAAAAAATTAGAGAATATTTTTTAGAAATCATTTAAGATATGCTTAATCTTATGTAGTTTCTCAATAAACAAGCACATTTTAATTAAATTTTTGATTCACAAACCTAATCAAGAACAGATTTATCATATACTGGCCAATGTTTATTTAACAATTAAAACTCCAGTATGCATTTCGACAATAAAACAATTGTCCTCCTCAACTGCTTTTTAATTTACAACCTTTTTTTAAACCGATATACAGTATAATAATAGCATGATAATAATGATAAAAAAATTAATATAATTGATTAAAATT